CTATCTATCTATCTATCTATCTATCTATCTATCTATCTATCTATCTACCTTTATTTATTTTGTATGTATGTGAGGTTTCTAAGGGTTGAACTGGAAGGCTCGGTGGTAGAGCCTTTCACCCACTCAACCATCTTTCTGGCCCTTCATTTTTAGAAGGTGTGACATCAGTGTGATTTTTGGCTGGATGTTTCCTGGGAAAGAATTGATATTCTGAGAGCAAGTTCTTCTGTAGCATCTTTGACAAGACACAAGAAATACTTTCACAGTCATTGTGTTCATTAAGTGGAGTTGGAGGGGTAGGAAAGGACTGGGGCAGGAGGATTGACTTGAGTTTGGATTTGGCTTGGGGTAACTAGTAAGTTCCAAGACAGCTTTGTCTCTTTCTCAAAACCAGACCCTATCAAACCAAACCAAACCAAACCAAACCCTCCCCCAAATTAACAAACAACACAACCCTCAATTTTCCTTAAAAATTTCTTTTTGTCACTGAGATTTCAGCCCTGTCCAGGAGTAAAAGTGTGCTAAAATGATTGTATGGAAAGCTTACCATGTAGTCTTGCATGTTCTTTTCTTCTTCAGCCATCATATTCTGTTAAGAATAAAAACAGCTCTTTGAAATGCGAAAGAAAATTTCTGGATGATATTTAGTTAGCTGAATAAAAAATACTTAATCTCAGTGAGAACGTCAGTTAATTTCTTGGAGGGGAAAATCTGCTTAACTTGGAAAATCTGGCAATATTGTCAGGAGGTAGGGCTAATTATTTGAACAATTCAAAAGCCATAGCGCTACTCCCAAAAGTCACATTTTACAATGATTTATGACTTTAAATATTATCAGACTATGTTCTCTCAGCATTATAGTAGTTTACTGAAAATGTGTATTACTTCAAACTCTTAATTAATCTTTGTCGTTCTTATAATTATAAAGTTTCAAGGAGTGGGGGAAGGTGGAGGAAGGCAGGGGGTGGGTGAGGAGGAGGGAGTGAAGATAGTAGGTATGCCAAGGTGTCTGGCAGAGCCTCCATGGCTCTCCTTGGAAGACCACTGTTTCATTAGAGGCCTGAAGTGCCAGGTCAGTAATGCAGAGAGGAAGTATCCTTTCCAGGCACTGAGGAGGAGGACCATAGACTGTACCTCAGCCTACAAGACGCGTATCTGGTTGCACCTTCTCCCGGGTTTAATCTCAATTTGTTCACTCACTTGGCTCATTCTGCAGCACCAAGTATTTCTTTTACGTTTTATTTACATAACTTTTGCCCAGTCCACAAAAGAGTATTATAAAGACAGGGGACAAGGCCCAGTGTTTGTTGCAGCAAAGGGGGTAGCAAAATCCAGCTGTTCACTACTTGAGAGCATGAGGAAGGCCTGTGCTGGCCATTCATTTCAGGCCTGTTATAAGTCTATTTCTTACAAGGGTACTATCTATTTATTTCTAGTGGATACGTTGACGGATAAGGAGAGGTTAATGTAGTGGTAGAACACTTGCCTAATGGGTGTGAGGCCCTGGGTTTAGTTCCCAGCACACACAGACAAAACACATACACACACATTCTCTCTCTCTCTCTCTTTCTCTCTTTCTGGTGTTTGTTAAAATAATAATACCTCATGTCAGAGACCTTCCCAGTTCCCTTTACTAGGGAGCCCACCTGGACACTGAACTGCCATGGACTACATCTGTGCAGGGATTCTAGGTTATCTCCATGAACGGTCCTTGGTTGGAGGATCAGTCTCAAAAAAGACCCCTTTGCCCAGTTTTTTTTTTGGTTCTGTTGCTCTCCTTGTGGAACTCCTGTATCTCCAGGTCTTACTTTTCCCACTTCTTTCATAAAATTTCCTGCGCTCTGCCCAAAGTTTGGCTATAAGTCTCAGCATCTGCTTTGATACCCTGCAGGGTAGAGATGAACTGATTGGCCTGCTCTTTAATCACCTTCCCCTGAGGGGGTTGCAGCCCTCAGGGTTGAAGGCCACAAAGGAAGACAATGCAGCCAGTCCTGATGAGGACTAGGATCAGAAGGAAGGGGAGGGAGACCTCCCCTATCTGTGGACTGGGGGAGGAGCATGGGTGGAGAAGAGAGAGGGAGGGGAGGATTGAGGGGGGAGGAGGGAGAGAGCTACAGGTGGGATACAAAGTGAATAAACTGTAATTAATAAAAATAAAAAGTAAAAAATAAAAAATCTTAAAAAACATCAATACCTCATTTGATTAAAGGTACTGTTAGTCTCTCTAGATCAAGGACTAAAAGTCTTCTTGAGAAATGAAAATAGTAATGATAATAATAAATCAATGAAGAGGAGTACTGAGTCCTTTTAAGTATTTCTCAATAGCTATGGTTTTAAAGATCTTTTTCATAAGACAGGGACAACAGTGGAAGGATGACAGAGACCAATTCCAGTAAAGCTTGTACCTTAAAAAAAGAGTAAAATTTTGACTTTAAAGTAAACAATAAAAAAAGAAACTGATGAAATTTTATAATATTTAGGTTCCGTGGATAAAGAGCTTACATGAAAGATCTTAACTGAAATACTTCAGCTCAGTTAAGAGATTCAGAATTAAGGGGTTTAGAGAAATTTCATCAGAATTTTACTTATCTCTTGGAAACCTGAACCAAATACAGGTCATATAAATCCAATCCAATACTTTATCAGTAGTCATCTTTAGGATTTTCTTAAAAGATAAATGAAGAATTAAACACATTATTCTCATTATTGGAAATATATATATTTCCAATTATGACATAATAAAAAGAAATATAAATTAACTTATACTATTTCCTTTAATCACAGTTGTATGTATCCCCCAATATGAACACATGTAAGGGCATAACGTTTCCAAAATATGTCTTTTTAAACAAATGAATAATAAATGAGTGAGTGAGTTTCTGGAGCTAATTAATCAATTTTTAGGTAGCAAAGTAATTGATTTTAATAAATTAAATATATATGGTTGTGTTGAGTATGGAAACATGCAACCATTTTGTAGAGTGAAATGAAGTGTGCACAGCATTAACAATAACTTTAACACAGAGTACCTTTAAGAAAGATGTTAAATAAATCTTAACTAAAATAAACAGGTAAGAAAACTAGCTTACATATGTGAAAGAATGAAAACCCAAAATTAAAAAAGAAATCTAATTCAGGGAATCATCTACTCAGAGAAGCCCTGGGTCAAACTGTCATATCATTAATTGTCCTTACGCTCCTACACTCTCACCCTCTTCAGAAAAGCAATAGACAGGAATAAGTTAACAGAGCACTCACAGTTGGTCAGACTGCAGAGAGTGAAGGTAGGGTGTTGAGCCTTTGATAAAACATCTGTATTATCCCCACCCCCAAATAGCTCAGGAAACACTGCAGAAGAGGGAGCAGAGATTTTGTAAGACCCAGAGGCGAGGGGAATATTCTGTGAAAGTATCCTCTAGACATGGCAGGGAACTTACTGACACAAAGTCACAGCAGCCATGGCTGCTTGTACTTGACTTGCACAAGAGGCCGAAAGGTGCTCTACCACAAAACAAGGACATTTGCGCAAGATCAAGCCAAGTAATGTTAGAGCAGGAAGTGGAGAGGCGATACCCTTACCTAAGCATTTAAGATGGCTATTAGAAGAGGGAGGAGTCAGCTTACTTCAGTGATAGAGTCAATGGTGGATACAGTGTTCCAGTGAATGGCTCTACACTCAAGTGAACTTACTCTCAGTGGATTATAAACAAACAAAATGTAAGCACATCAGTTTGGGAGATATGAAGGATGGAGTTGTCTGAGATAAGGAGAGAGGGTTGAGAAACAAGTATTATTTTGTACATTGCATATATATATAGGAAATTCTTTAAGAATAAAAACATGAGAGATGGCAGCACCGGGAGGACTCTCATTCTGAGGAGCAGCACAGCAGGATTGGCACAGTGACCAGCAATCAGAACTCGCGGCCATAAAACACAAGTGGTTGTGTTTCTCAGGTGAGAGGATACCCCATGGTGGGGATTCGATCAGCTTTAACTCAGCCGGCTAAACCATGGAAGAGATCCCCGTTCCGCCAGGCGCTTGGTCGCCAGCCCAGAGCTACCCGCCAGTGCGATCTGGTCACGGTCCCAGACTGAACTGTGGGCCCACAACACCATAGACTGGATTTCCCAGTCGGGAGATAACCCCACGGAGCAGGAAACAATTGGGACCGACCCCAGGTTGCCCAGACATCCCCTGGAAAAGACTCGGGTTCCGCGGGTGCCCCAGGAGCCAGCCCGGACCCAGAGCCGGGAGGGACAAAGGCGCCTGCCTGCACAGAGCCCTGCCTGCGCGCGTGATTCGCCGCCTCAGATAGAACTGTGGGCACCAGGGCAACAGGGCACCAGACTGCGTGTCTCTGGCAGGAGGAAACCCCCAGCGGAGGGGGTCAGCAGCTCTAACGCTTAGGACACCCAGCACCAAAACACTTCCTGGACTCACGCAGACTCTAGTGCAGGCAGAAGTGCTGTGCTCTGCTGCCATTGTTGCGTTCCCCTGGGGCACTGGGACACACAGCTGCATCCTCAGACCTGCAGGAGCCGAAGAGCCATTACAGCAGCCCTCAGATACTGTGCCAGGGATCGGCCAGTTGTCCCTGGCTGGACTGCCAAAACTGTAGGAATCCCTGATCCTTCAGGGGGGCTGCACCCACAGCGTCTGGACCAGAGTGGTGCCTATAGCCGCCATCCCAGACAGAGACACACAGCTTTTGGTCCAGAGTGAGGCACCCAGCCTCCAGACCAGAGCAGTGCCCCCAGGCACCAACTCAACCTAGGTGCACATTCTCCAGGTCCAGAGCAGAGCAATCAGCCTTTGGCCCAGAGACTTGCTGAGTGCACCTCCCACTTTCTCAGACAGAACTGTGCGCCCCAGGATAACAGACTGAGTTTCCCTGTTGGGAGAAAACCCCATAGCTAGGGAATCAGCAGTTTCTTCAAGAGGACTGTACATGGAAATTTAGTGAGCAGCAGCACACTAAATTTATAACAAGAAACCCAGCAGTGGGGTAGCTGTCTTGAGAAATTTTATGGGTAAGAGGAGATCCCCCCCTGCCTAACATAGACCACAGCTACTACTCAGGGCTATAAACCTGAGGTGAGCAGTGGCAACTCCGGAGAAACACTGGCCATACAGTGACCATAACCAAAAAGCAGAGAAGGACTCCTTCAGGAAAAATCATCTTCCAGCCAAGGGGATACTCCCTACCTCAGGACTCCAGGAAGCACAGAAACTAACAGCCAACACCTAAATCAGCCCAATGGGTAGAGGTCAGTGTAAAGGCTCAACCAACAAAAGACAGAGCAATATGGCATCTCCAGAACCCAGCCATCCAGGGGCGAACAGCCCTGAACAATGCAGCATAATAGAAAATCAAGAAGATGACCTTACATCTATGTTGATGAAGAGAATAATAGAGGAAACAGATAAAGAATTAGAGGAAAATAAAACCAAACAGATCATGGCTATCCGTAAAGAAATGGAGGAAGATAAAGACAAGCAAATTAGGGCCATGCGTGAAGAAATAGGGGAAGATGCAGCCAAACAGCTTGTGGCCTTCAGAGAAGAAATAATTAAATCACTGAAAGA